CCTCCGATCTTCCGTGGAAAGTTCTTTGTATGTTCTTCGTGGTAACTCAGAAAGGACTACACACTCCATCCTCGCATCAAAGTTGACCGCTTTAAGTCTCTATTTCTCTTGTAAACTGTCTAATCTGTCGGATTCACCCATTATCGTCTCTCTATTTGGAATTGTCGAAATACCTCCTGTGGAATCAGCCTATGAATGCAGCATTAACCACCTGGAAATAATGGAGCTGCAGACCAAGGACTTCCACCACCCTTATTCGCCCTATAATATTCAAATTCAGTTCATGAGAGCGCTTTACACATGTCTCGAGGATGGCAAAGTAGCAATCTTCGAGTCCCCAACGGGTAGGTTGGACTACATGACTAGGCAAAGGCATTGCGACCCCTGCTAACTTGGTGTTGCTAGGCACTGTGAGTGAATTCAAGTCACCCTACGTAGCTCGGCCCATTGAAGGGGACCATAGCCTAAAAACTCTGAAAGGCTTGACGCGAAATCTGCTTCTTACTTGATTTGAAGGTGATGAGGAACCATGCAAATGACTGATGACTAGCATATTCCGTAGGGTAAATCTTTAAGTTTGATATGTGGCTCCTTGACTTGGCTGCGCGACCACAAGCGTTCTGCTTTCCAAGACACCATCGATCACACACTTAGTGAGGATTATGGATCTAAATCAATATGCATTGCTATTGCCTCTGACCTTAGCGATAGACAATGACGAGAGTGAGCCGGACTGGATGTTGGAATTCGCCAAGAGTGAGTTGAGTCGCTCAATGCTCGAGAAAAGGAGGGAGCTCGAGGAGCGGTTAGAGAGGACAAAACTCAAAGAAGAGAAACAAAGGATTGTGGTGGAGAATCCAGAACTCCCCCGAAAAAAGCAGGTAGGTTCACTGTCGAGTCCTAACCGCAGAATAATGAAATTGAAGACCATCAGAAACTAAGCAAGGCATCCGCGGGGCCGCCCTTGCACGAAGATCTATTCCTTGTGGATGAATATGATAGCGACGATGGTCAACCAGGTCTTTCAGTCAAAAGCTTGCAACCCGACAGTGGGCTCTCTTTCAGCACACTTGAACTGCTGAAAAGGTTCAGAGGGCAATCGACTGCTAAATACGATGCAGACAGTGACCAAGACGATGAGATTAAGATTTTCTTTTGTTCTCGGACACACTCTCAGCTATCCCAATTTGCAGGTGAATTACGACGCATTGCCATGCCATCGAGTATCCCAGAAGATATGATACCCAGTTATGGAAGTAAGGCCTTGGAAGAACGCATTAGGCACCTCTCCCTCGGATCCCGGAAGAATCTTTGCATTAATACACGGGTATCTTCACTTGAGAATCCAACAGCAATCAATGAACGTTGTCTCGAATTGCAGCAACCTGGAGTAGCCACAGAACACAAATGCCCCTATCTGCCGGCAAAAGAAGACGAGACACGTGCTATTCGGTTCCGCGACCATGCACTTGCGACGGTGAAAGATATAGAAGACTTAGGGAACGTCGGAAAGGAGATCGGAATATGTCCTTATTATGCTTCTCGATCGGTTATCAAGCATAGCGAGGTGGGTCTTCCTTTGAACCTTTTGTTCTAAACACACGACTGAAATTGAACAGATTGTCACTCTTCCATATCCTCTCTTGCTTCAGCGATCAGCCAGGGAAGCACTTGGGTTGTCAATCAAGGGCCATATCATCATCATTGATGAAGCACATAATCTGATGGATGCGATATCTAGCATTCATTCCGCGACTGTGACACTTTCCCAATTTGAATTGTCTATCTTACAACTAACGGCCTATGCCCGCAAGTTTAAGACCCGTTTGAAAGGACAAAACAGGAGCTATATTGCTCAGATCATCCGGCTCCTCGGCTCAATTACACATCACCTTCGCTCTGTGCTGGCCGGCAATGGGCCGCCTGAAGGACGTGTCCTGCCTTCGGAGCTCATGTCTGGGAAGGGCGTCGACCAAATTAACCCTTACAAACTAAGCCGATATCTTCAGGAAAGTAAGCTCGCCAGAAAAGTCGATGGGTACGTCGAATTCACGAAAGAAGCAACAAGAGCCAGGGCTTCTGGGAGATCCACGGCACCTATACTTTTCCACATACAGGGATTCCTGCTCTCATTGATGAACCCGTCCGCTGAGGGGCGATTGTTTTATCTGAAAGACAAGGATGAAGTTCAGTTGAAATACATGCTTCTTGATCCGACAAACCAATTCCGTGACCTCGTTGAAGATGCCAGAGCCGTCATACTGGCTGGTGGAACGATGTCACCGGTAAGATCCCGCTGCAAGTGTCTAGTGAATTGTCTTTCGGATTTGTCCGTCTAACAGATTTTGTAGATGGCAGACTACATGAATCATCTGTTCTCCTATGTCCCCTCTGAACGAATCGATACCTTCAGTTACGGTCATGTAATTCCGTCGGAGAACTTGACTGTACACACGTTAGGGCGTGGAGTACAAGGCATGAATCTCGAGTTCACGTATGAGTCTCGAAACGTAGAGGCAATGGTAAGTGATTCGTACAAAAGCTGATGGGAGAACGTGTCTCGACTAACCGGCGCACCTCTTTGATGCTTCTGGGCGATCGCTCAGATACTTGACCTTGGCCGAACAATAGCGTCCATCTGCAACGCGATTCCTGATGGCGTCGTTGCCTTCTTCCCCAGTTACGATTACCTGGGCCAAGTGTTGAACGTGTGGAAAAAGCCGATAGAAGGCGAGCGGGGCCAGAGCGTATACGAGCTAATCTATAGAACGAAGCCAGTCCTCTCTGAATCACGAGAAATGGCTGAGTCGACGGAAGAATTGCTTCAGAAGTACGCCGAGCTCATTGACTCTAGTAGCGGTGCGCTTCTATTGTCCGTGGTGGGTGGGAAGCTGTCCGAAGGGATCAATTTTTCCGATCGACTCGGACGTGGCGTAGTCATCATCGGACTGCCGTTTCCGAACATTCAAAGTGCCGTCTGGCAAGCAAAAATTGAGTATGTCGAGCAGAAAGCGTTTGATCAAGCAGTTGGTTCCGCAGCCAGTCGGCGGTCGACCGCCAAAGCTGCAGGGAGAGAATACTACGAAAACGCTTGTATGCGGGCAGTGAACCAGTGCATCGGACGAGCTATCAGGCATCGCAACGACTATGCCGCTATCGTGTTGATGGATAAACGGTATGATCGAACCAATATCAGAGGAAAGCTTCCGGCCTGGATCAAGCAGAGCATGGCCACTGCTTCTGTCAATCAACCCGCAGGTAGGACGATTCAGAGCCTGTCTGATTTTTTCAGAGATGATAAGCAATGTGTCAACAGCAGAGCCTAGTGATTATGTGAGCAATTGAAGACCAAAGCAATGATAAGCCTCTCTTAGCAGTCACGTAGTTGAGTGGCTACAGTACGTAGTAGTTACCCGTGACTTTAGCAACACTAACTACTTCCAACTACCAAGTTACGTTACTGGCCGAGATCGCCAACTGGCACAGGCAGATCCGATGCCCGACCACAATAAAGCCACGTGATCGATACGCTCCGGGGGCGCGCCAAGGCTCATCTGAAGGGCAGGGCCCTAAGTTAGGGCAAGCAAATTAGCGCACATTCTAGCCCCCCCCCAAGCCTTGATTTCAACATCTGAGCCCAGCACCCACGACCGCATCCCCCCCATCGCCAAACTCTCAGACCGGTCTTGTCGAGCTCAGCACCGTCGACAAGATGCCTACCCGTTTCTCGAAGACAAGGAAAGCGTGAGTCGAAAAAGCTTTTTCCCTTCGCCTCGATGCCCTCGATCGTGATCTCGCGGTTTTCGTGGTGGAATGCGACAGGCAGATGCTTTGTCCGGCGCTCTCCGGAGAGGTGCCGAACATAAGAAGGAAGGACACCAGACTGACATTTCTGTTTTCCAGCCGCGGTCATGTTTCCGCCGGTTACGGTCGCATTGGCAAGCACCGTAAGCATCCCGGTGGTCGTGGTATGGCCGGTGGTCAGCACCACCACCGTACCAACCTTGACAAGTACCACCCTGGTTACTTCGGTAAGGTCGGAATGAGATACTTCCACAAGACCCAGCAGCAGTTCTGGAAGCCCACCATCAACCTTGACAAGGTACGTTGCATCCGCTTGAGAGGGAGGATCGGAAATTTCTCAGTGAACGGTGGTCGAATTGGTCGGATATCGATGAAGCAAACGTGGATTGAGACATGTCCGCATCCGTTTGTGAAGGAAGACCGGGGCGGCCAAGAATAAACGCTAATTTGTTTGTATTGCAGCTGTGGTCCCTCGTTCCTGCCGAGCAGCGCGATGCCTATGTGAGCGGCCAGAAGACCGACACCGCCCCTGTCATCGACCTCCTTTCCCTCGGTTACTCCAAGGTCTTGGGCAAGGGCCGTCTCCCCGAGGTTCCCATTGTCGTTCGCGCCCGCTACTTCAGCCGTGACGCCGAGAAGAAGATCAAGGAGGCTGGTGGTGTTGTTGAGCTTGTTGCTTAAATGTGGAAATTGACGTTTCTGCTTGAAGGATTAGACTGGGACAGGTGCTGCGCTGGCTACGGCTCAGGGCAAAGAGGGTCAATTATCTCCCCTGGTGATGAAAACTTCAAATGGGAGCCGCGGATCGGGCACCTTGGTCCGTGTATCTACAAAATAAAGGGTGTCTAGTTGGTGGCTAGCTTTAAAATGGCCGCCAGACAACTTCACGATCAGATTTATCGAACAATACCATAAAGGGGAATTGAGTTTTTTCACTATTTTTTTTTTCTCCCGGACTCATCCCTCGACTGCTGTTGCAAATGCTCGTTCCGACTTGATGCCATGGGCTATATCGCTTCTCGCCGTCGATTCCTATCGCCACTCACCGATGTGTTGTCGTTATCCGCACCGGGCCGAATAGTCCAGTGACAATTGCCTTCCATTCTCGCTGAATGTATTCGAGTAACATGAGTCTGCTCGGTTGCTTGACTATCATGTGCGCCTTCATAATTGGATTGTAGGACACGTAGTGTGTTTTTTTACATGCAATAGCAATATAAATAGTTGTATTCGATCATCTTGTGGCATGTCTACATCTTAGCCTCTCGAACGGAACCCGTCCTGAGGCACGCACTATTGGTCTCGAGTGTCTCACGAATGAACCGGACCGCTTCGTTGACCATTTGGGGAGTTACCTCGTGTCCAGCGTGCTCATCGACAATGTCTTCCAGGGTGACCAATCCATCAGCAAACCACCCACTGGATGAGATTGCTTGTTTAAACCAAGTCAAAAATGCGCTTCCTCGATGGTAGGGTACCAATTTATCCATCCCGCCCGATAGGTTAAGGATTCTCTTCCCTGCTAAACAACGATCGAGTAAAGGGCGTAGGGAGACCTTCTCACTTTCTGTGGGAGCCGGCAAGGATTCGCTGCGGAGAGCACTAGGTATCGACGTTGAGTCCATTTGGCTCAAGAACAAGCCCGCGGGGTCGTATTTTCGAACGGCATCGAGCAATGAGCCCGGAAAATCCTCAGAGCCTAAGAAATCGGAGCCAGGAGCTTCGCTATCGGTCCAGGACGGCAGCCTGGACAGTCTTGCGCGATCGGCCATGAGATTCACATAATCAGGGCAACCAATGATGACAACGCCCGCACTTATGCGGGGCTCGTGCAGGATGCAGCTCCAGGCAGCGTGTCCGCCTAGAGAAACACCCAGAACCAAGTTATCAGATATCTTGCGTTCTGATCTGGGGAAGACATAAGATGGGATATAGTCGATCAAGAGAGACACATCACGGGCAGTGCCCTCTGCAGGACAGAGATTAGAGCTATGATTCGTCTGGATCGGCATACACAGCACTCACGGAAGATCGAGAACATGTCTTGGGCATGACGAGGGTTTCCTTGTTTCCAAGCTTCATTGGCTAAGGGATCAACCAGCCTTGTCCCATGGTTTCTTTGGTCGAACGCTACGGCAATTAGGCCTTTGGCAGGGCGACTTGAATCGGAGCAAGCGCCCTGGATCTTGGAATTCCAGTCGGCGATGACTGCCGTCGCGATACTAGTCATTCGTTCTTGGGTAGCTAGTCTTGGGTGTAGTAACCAAAGACAGGCAACCTCAGCCGCTTCTGATGGTAATTCTTCGAGACCGAATGCCGTCGTGAGAATTCCCGCAATGGCAAATCGCCGATGAGACACAGGCGACGGCGCGCTGGTGTTCTCAAGGTCAGAACGCGGCGCAGCATCCAGAGGCTTCATGGGGTCCGTCATATTCTCGAATGAGTCGATGTTCCTGATAGAACAAATCTCATATATATATCTTTCTTGTTGACGTGTGGGCGCAATTGCGGTCTAATGAAGGATCAGAGGTCTTCTCCTTTGTGGTTCGTCTCTGTCTGTTTTAGCTCTCCTGGGGGGGGGGGGAAGGGGGTGGAGAGATTAAATCTGTCCAGGGAATGAGGAAGTGATATTTAAATACACCTGTACATATATCACTCACTCTCCATATAGCAGTTTAAGCCTTGGGTATGTACTGTACAGTAGACAATAGCCGAGGATAAGTAAATACCTTCGAGTACAGTAACACCACTTGTTATCTGCGTGACGATTACCCGTTATCTCTGCTGGTAGTTGGTAGGAGTGGTATGAGATCTATCTGTATGCACCGTATGTAGCGTATCATACCGTATGGTACTGAGACTGACTGCCTGATTTCTGGGGAGTGAGTACGGCGTAGCTTTGAGCAACATAGGATTGTTCCAAACTGCTCATTGATAATCGGGCAACTGTCTCGAGGAGACATATAATCCATTCTGGATGGTAAATATGCGGATTGTATGCAGACTGAAGCTTTTTAAGCTGTACAGTCCTAGTCCTATTAACCAAAGCGGTTCTTTTGTCGTCATTCAAGGTTTCCATCGTTCTATCCACAATTCGTATCTACTCGTAGTACGGAGTAGGTACTGTCTCCGTACGGGGCAAACACTCCACCCACTGCACTGCAGTGTGCTGCACTGCACATCCACGGGAGGTTCTAACCTACCTAGTCTAACTTTCCTTCTTTCCAAACATCGCCCATCATCCTCCCCTTTCGCAATCTAATCTCCTTCTTCACCACCACCACGCTCCCTCCCCTCCCCTTTCTCTCGTTTCTTTCCTCTTTTTTACTATCCTTCTCTTGTCTCGTCAGTCCTTATTTGAACGAGCAACATCGTTCACATCGTTCAATACCTTCAACCTTGACATTGATCCTTTAGATCTAGAATGATTAGCAAATATTGAGTTCCGTGGCCGCTTCCGACGGGATCACTCTGATCCGCATGTTCGTCTCTGTCTACTCTGCACCCACTTCCCTCTCTTGTCGATCTCCGCTTGCTGAAGTTGGTGCTTTACTGCCAGCATGACAGACCCCACAACTGAGCCCTCCGAGCCAAGGAGCTCGGAGAACACCCAAGCTCGCCATTATTGGAGAAGACCCGAGCCTATGTCGCTATCAGATGGAACTAAGCTCTCTTCGCCAAATCCTGCGTCTCCCTTGATGATTCCGAAAACAGACACGCAGCATAAAGCGGAGGAAGAGGAACACGATCAGGTGAATGACCTGCCACCTCTGCAGGACACCGAGGAAACCATCACAAAAAATAAATCCAAAGCGCGTGCAGGACAAGCTAGCGGCTACCCGGAGGATCGGACGACATCCGGGGATGCTATCTCTGGTGATAATCCTGGCTTGCTGATGCCTCGAAGAATGAATGAGACGACCGAGGGACCGCAAACATCCGGAAGTAGGAAGCCGCAACCGCCACTGCCAGCCGCGAGCCGCCGTCCGAGCGTTCAATTTACTCCAGACCCTCCCGAAGTCGACCCTCTCACTGAGCTACCCAGTTCCAGGCCGCCATCAGTAAAGGGGGATGACGCAGATCTGGGTTTGAGAGGAAAACAGTCTCTACTCACGAAGTTGAAATCATTCGCAGCCTCACCCTCCTTCGTTTCGCACTCGCGCTCAGCTAGTGGCGCAACCCTGAGCGATTTCAGAGCCACCAACAATGATCTAGCAACCCCGGGTTCGGAACGGGGCGCCTTTCGTTTCCCAAACACCTTGGAAGAAGAGGGAAGCGACATTGATGCCGATGCGGAGGAGAGCGCAGGGGAGAATCGTGCCCACCAGCCAAAGAAGAAGAAGAAACAACGCCGGCGTCAAAAAGATGAGTCGGCCTCGCAAACGCAGCCAAATACACCAAAGGCTACTACTCGTCCGTCGTTTCACTTGCCCAGCTCATTTGCACCCTTTGAGAATTACCGGTCGAATTTCTTCCCGCGCCGGGGGAGCACTGGTAATTTTATCCCGCAGCAGCGGGAGGGAGTTTCGGAAGATGAGGGTCGTGACCGGTTGAACAGGGATACGGCATGGAGGCGAAGAAGTGTCTGGCTTGCGAATGCGAGAGGACTTACTTATGGCGGACGTCAGCTGGACACTCCAACGAACCCCGACGAGAGAAGACCGAGCAACCTCAGAAGACTGACCGGGCTGGCTGGCCCATCTGACAACGCCGAGGGTACCGCGCCACCTTGGCGGCGCCACCGGGCTGATCGGGGTTCTAGCCTGAGCGCTCAAAAATGGCGTCAGATCAAAGCTGGACTCAAGCTGATTGGGCAGAGACGCAAGGTGGATAATACTGTCGATCATGCAAAATCAGCAGAACTTCTGGCAGAACTTACGTCCGGGGTGCCGGCCGCCCTCATTCTAGCCAGCATGTTCCAGAGGGACGAGCATGGAAGCAAGCGCATTCCAATTTTACTCGAACAGCTCAAGGTGCGGGTCACCGATAGCAAGATTGATTCACACTCCGGCGACCGCCATCTGGTTTTTCGTATCGAGCTCGAGTACGGAAGTGGAATGACACGGATGAAGTGGATTATACACCGTACCCTAAGAGACTTTGCCAATATCCATCTGAAGTACAAGCTGCACTTTGGAACGCAGAAGTACATTCAATTACGGAACACTGAAGGTGGACACAACCTCCCGCGCTTTCCGCGCAGTGCGTTTCCTTATCTTCGAGGTGTGCGCGGCTTAGAAAGTGACATGGAAGATGAGGAGGACGATGGTGGATATGAGACGGCGGCAGAGGTAACAAGCGGCAACGAAAGGGGCGGTAAGAAGCAGCATCAGCAATTATCGCGGCGCCCATCTGGCGCCATGTCTCGAAGACAGTCGAGTGCGACAATCCCAGATGGAGAGAATCCGGCAGGCTCATCCGGGCCGGTAGAAGCTGGGTTCGCTAACAAGAGAGAGACTTACCCGGAGAGGCAACGAAAGAAGCTGGAATCGTACCTACAGAAGCTAATCCGGTTTCTTATCTTTAAGCCAGATAGCAACCGCCTGTGCAAATTCCTCGAGCTTTCGGCACTAGGTGTCCGTCTTGCCGCTGAAGGGAGTTATCATGGCAAGGAAGGATATCTTGTTATCCAGTCGTCCAAAGGCCTTGATTTCCGGAGAGCCCTGACTCCAGGCATGGTAAAAAAACGCCACTCCCCCAAATGGTTTCTTGTGAGGCACAGCTACGTCGTATGCGTCGATTCGCCGGAGGAGATGAATATTTATGATGTGTTCTTGGTAGATCCCTTTTTCAAACTCCAGACTCAGAAGGCTAGCTTGCGCAACCAGAAGGCAAAGGACTTTGCCAAGTCTGCAACGGAGTCAGCTCGACACCCGCAGCATCACACTCTAAGACTCGAGAACTCGGAGCGAAAGCTCAGACTGCTGGCCAGGAATGAGCGGCAACTCCACCAATTCGAGGACTCAATACGGTTCATGGTCAATAACACCCCCTGGGCGAGACCGAACCGATTTGAGAGCTTTGCTCCTGTACGGCAGAAGTGCTTCGCGCAATGGTTGGTGGATGCGCGTGATCACATGTGGGTTGTGTCCCGCGCGATCAACCAGGCTAAAGATGTCATCTATATTCATGACTGGTGGCTCAGCCCTGAGCTCTACATGCGTCGACCGGCCGCTATCAGCCAGAAATGGCGCTTAGACCGTCTGCTACAGCGTAAGGCGCGTGAAGGTGTGAAGATTTTTGTGATCATGTATCGAAACATCAACTCCGCCATTCCAATCGATTCGGAGTACTCCAAGTTCTCTCTACTCGATCTACACCCGAATGTCTTTGTTCAACGTTCGCCCAATCAATTCCGGCAGAACACCTTCTTCTGGGCACACCATGAGAAGCTATGCATTATCGACCACACTCTGGCCTTTGTTGGGGGTATTGATTTGTGTTTCGGAAGATGGGACACGCCTCAACATCTCTTGACGGATGATAAGCCAACGGGCTTCGAGACACGGGAGGGACCAAAGGACGCGGATCATTGCCAGCTCTGGCCCGGCAAGGACTACTCGAACCCTCGGATACAAGATTTCTACGATCTCGACAAACCGTACGAAGAGATGTATGATCGGAATATCATTCCCAGGATGCCTTGGCATGATATCTCAATGCATGTAGTGGGTCAGCCGGCTCGAGACCTCACGCGCCATTTTGTCCAAAGGTGGAATTACATCTTGCGCCAGCGAAAACCAACCCGTCCAACGCCATTCTTACTCCCGCCTCCTGATTTCGATGCGGCTGATCTGGAAGCTCTCGGTCTTGATGGGACCTGCGAAGTCCAGATTTTACGTTCTAGTAGCATGTGGTCGACAGGCACACCGGACACAACCGAACACAGCATCATGAACGCCTACGTGAAACTGATTGAGGAATCCGATCATTTCGTATATATTGAGAACCAGTTTTTCATCAGCACCTGCGAGATTGACGGTAGAAAAATCGAGAATCTGATCGGGGACGCATTGGTAGAGCGCATCACGCGGGCTGCAAAGAACAAAGAAGCATGGCGTGCCGTGATTGTCATTCCATTGATGCCTGGTTTCCAGAACACGGTTGATAGCGAGGGTGGAACTAGCGTCCGCCTTATCATGATGTGCCAATATCGCAGTATCTGTCGTGGTGAGACGTCAATCTTTGGACGGTTACGAGCATTGGGAATCGAGCCTGAGGATTACATTCAATTCTTCAGCCTCCGGTCATGGGGAAAAATCGGTCCGCAAAAACAGCTCGTGACTGAGCAGCTGTACATTCATGCTAAATGTATGGTCGTTGATGATCGCGCGGCTATCATCGGTTCCGCGAATATCAACGAACGGTCGATGCTCGGATCACGCGACTCTGAAGTTGCGGCGGTTGTTCGCGATACGGACATGATATGGTCTAGCATGAACGGCCGTCCCTACCTTGTGGGCCGTTTCCCGCACACCCTTCGCATGCGCCTTATGAGAGAGCATCTTGGTGTCGATGTCGATGAGCTGATGGAACATTCTTTGGCGACCGAGGAAGAGCTACTAAGGATTCAAATTGCCGAAGAGGGGTCCAAGCCATCTGATATCAACGAGGCGCCTGACTCCGAGTCTCTCATGCTGGAGAAGAGGGACGAGAGAGACATGATTGAACGCCGCCACCGCATTCAGGATGAGTTTCTCTCTCGTTCGGAAGACATGCACAGTTTCAACCATGACGTAGACTGGGAGCAGGGGAACAACCCCAATCTCAAGTCGAATAGGAAGCTCACTGCAGACCCGAGGGTAACCTCTAACCCAGAACACAAGAAAGATGTGGATGGTCTCGGGCCAGACCATTTGCAAGTGGCTCAGGAGGCAGGCCTCGAAAAGGGTCGAGATTCCGAGATCCTGGAGGACAAGGCCGAGGTTCTGATTTCGCCTATTGCATCGGAGGGTAAAGGCACGCTGCAACAACCTAAACCCAAACGTCCTTCACAACGCACTGTGCGGCATACCAACCCTCATGGCACGAACGATGCCAGACAGGCACATTCTAATCTAGTCGCACAGGGCATTGAATGTGCACACGTTGTTGAAGGCGCGCCAAATATTCGACACCCAGCGCTAGCTCCGGAGCACGAGACAGAAACCAGCAACAGCGGCAATTTGACGGCTTCACGAGACATTGGTGACAACGCCAAGTCTTACCTGTACGCTCCTGAGGTGAAGCATATATTCATCGACAAAGATTGTATGAGGGACCCTATACTTGATCTCTTTTACTTGGATACCTGGTCTGCCGTCGCCGAAAAGAACACCAAGGTCTTTCGTAGTGTTTTCCGCTGCATGCCTGATAGCGAGGTGAAATCCTGGAAGGAATATAAAGAGTACACCGCTTATGGGGATCGATTTGCTGAAATGCAGAACCAACACGGCGCCAAGGTTCCGCAGCCTTCGAGTCAGCGACAAACCGGACCCCCAGGCACAGCTGCCGGCTTCCCTGGAGCAGCTGCCGGAATCAAGCACAGTCTGGCATCACACAGCCACGGTACCGAGGCCCATAAGGTGGAACGCAAAGAGCAAACCACCGTCGAGAAACCAGGAAATTGTGAGAGTGGATCGGTACAGGGCTCGAACGAGCAAGAACATGAGACGGCGAATCATGAAGGACTGTCACCTATAGATGAAAAGTCTGCCCTAAAAGCAGCCGACGGCTCAGCATCCCGGCGGGTGCAGAATGGACGGACCGAGGATAGCGGCTCCTCTGGAGAGGACGTCGAGAAACACCGGTCAGATCGCCCTGCCATCGAGTATTCTGACGCATTGAACAGAAACGCTACCGGTCAGTCGCGGCGGCGGAGACGACGAGCAACAACACTCGGGTCGAAGCGTGACTTCCATGCGGAAGAAGTGATGGACAAACAGCGAGCGGAAGACTTGTTGAATCAGGTTCAGGGTCATCTTATTCTCTGGCCTTACGACTGGTTAGTCCTTCACGATCCCCAAAACAGTCATCTTCCAAATTCGCTGACCTTGTTAATTCAACTTAGGCTTGAAAAAGAAGAACAAGGCGGGAACTGGCTATATACATTAGACCAAATATCCCCACTGGAAATCTAGTGCGTGTCCCTTTCTCTCCTCTCGACTTACGGCTATGTTTATCCTCTAACTGTCAAACAGCAACTAGCATGATTCCTTGCCGCTTCCTGCTTCTTTCTTCGGTTCTCGACCGCTTTCCATCTCCCTGGGCCTTGATGAACCTCCGCTACCATCCGGTACTTTTTGCAGATGCTCTCTTTGACATGTATATATGCCCTTCACGATACCAAGACGGACCATTGGGTTGGGTGATATGCACTCCTATGCATCCCTAAGCAAGCGGGCCTTCTTCTACAATAATACTTTTTCAATTCACCTGTGATAGCTTGTCCCATACTGATTTGATGGGTAACAAAGCAGATGCATCGGGAGTTGTTCATGTTTAGACACAAATAACAACGAAGATGAGTATTGTAAACGATGAAGAATAGAACCCCCTGGGCTCCAGCCCTGCGTACAAGGTACACAGGTGAAGTGAAAGTCTAGTTGCTGCGATGCGGTGAGAGTTCTTTCCTAGATGCGAGAAGTTCGCGCATCTGTTCAGTCTTGTTAAAAGGTGTTCGGATGATGGAGCCCAAAAGACTCGTGGTCGGAGTGACGCGCCCCCCGGACCATTCCGCAAGGCAGGTGCGGAGCACTTGGTATGCGTCCCTGAAAGTCATCTGTACGAACGCCGTGTGCAGACAAGGCACGCCTATGTCCACCATGTAATTTGTGGGGTCCTGAACACATAGTCGCTGGGCCAAAGCATAGTTGCCCCTTTCCAGGGCAGTTTTCCTTCGACGCAGGAGGGAAGCTTGGCCACGAAGGTGGACGGGCCAATTGACTTTTTCACCATACTCTTGGTAGACTCTTCTCATCGAGCGCTGGTCGAAGAGGCCAGGAGGGTCAGCGGCGACCCCGGACTTCTGGAGGTTGACCTCTAGTCCGAACTTGTGCAAGAATGCGAGAAGTTGCTCACCCAAGTCATCGTTTCCGAGAAATTGGCCATGGCTCATCTTCAAGAAGTTTGCAAGTAGAACGGCGAGCGCAGGGTGGGTGATCCCTGCACCAGTTTTACCATACAAGATATTGTTTTGCAAGACAAGGCGACTTGCCACAAACAAATACCGGAATGATGGATATTCAGCCTGCCAATTCCTTATATGTTCATACAGGCCTTGGTAATTGTCACCACAGTGGAACGACAGCCTGAGACGTGTTTCACGGTGGCGTACGTCGAGGATGCCAGTGTGATTTGACTTAATGTTGGCCGAGGTGTGGCGCAGTATTACATAGGACGGATGGCCCTGAAGTTTACTCTCGACCTTTCTCAGGAGGTCTGCGTATTGGCTGACCATATATGGCCGGGTGGGACTCGGTTCCCGTACTTGCCCTGAGCGACTGGGGTCAGGAACAAGCAGACGAATAGACATAGCAGACATAGTCGTTCCGAGTCCGAGGCTCCGAGCCCCTGACCACTGTAGCGGATGGGACACGACCCCTTCGAGCAACTGAGAGATTTCTGCAAGAATCTGCTGAGCCTGTTCCTCCTCGACGACAGTCGGCGAAATGTAGTCCCCTAACGCTCGAATCTCCGCATTGAGTTGCGAGCCACCATCTTTAAAAATTTGTGTTTCATTCAGATTCTTTAACCATACGGCACGCTTTGGTTCAGTGCGTGACCCGCCAAAGTAGAGAGTCGTGCTCTGGATAGGAGAGGAGGTTATTGAGCTTGCTGCGATCGATTCAGCGCTAGAAGGTAATGGTTTCGAGGATTCCCCATAACTGGTAGTATGACTTGGTGGACGACTGGGCCGAGATCCGCTTTTGACGGTGCTTGGGACGTTGCGAAGCGGACTTGAATCCGAGGTATAGACTCTGCGAATCAAACTTGCGCGGTTGGCGTCGCGGTGCGCATCCAGAGTTTTCTCCAGGCTTTCCGGAACAATCGCACCATTGTCGCTGCTGCAGTCGACAGTCCGATGCAAGCGTCGACAGGGAATTGTCAGCGAAGAGGTGTGCCAAGACACATAGTTGCGTGAGAGAAATATCCTTCGTTGCGGGAAGCTTGTCATGGTCAAGCGTCAATGGCAATAGGTACGAGTCGTGCAAAGCACTATTACGGGGAAACCATGATTATGGAAATTTATCTGACGTTAGTGGACATACTGAAGACCACAATGATCAGGTGACCTTAGATCAAGCTATCACCACGTGACTAGACCCATATTGTGCAGTAGTTAACCTGAATTAACTACTCCGTAAAGTTGAGTTACTTAGTTAGTCATAAGGGATTAGTTAGTTTGTTAACTACTCAGTTTAATTAACATAACTTAACTACCAGTGCATCTTGTATAGCTGAGTCAGTACTGCACTATGTAACTTATTTACTAGTAAGGTAGTTATTGATGAGTAAGTCAACCAATCTTAGGCGAATCAATTCTAGGTTTTCCAGGTTCAGATGTCACTGGGGCAGACGGTGACTGCACTGCATTCACTGGCTGGCACAGCACTATAAGGTACCTACTCTCCAGGCTAGGTACCTACAGTACTAATCCACTCACCCGTTCCAGATCGGGTAAGGGCTCCCCTTCCCAGGCCCAAGCCCCCCAGTCAATAATAATAGTAATGATGCTCTTCCGTCTTCCATCGTCATTCCCATTTTGTGTACATACCTACTCAGAGTCAGAAGCCGACGAACACCTACCTCCCTTTCCAGTGGGGTTCTGAGATTCACTGGTCACTCCTGCAAGTCGGGTTAATGAGGCTAAATCCATGGAAAACAACAGGGACCGATCGTCGGGTTCCTACACGGGACACGAGACCCTGCACAGCATGCCCGACCATTCTCGATGTGCATCGACGATGGGCTCCTTCAGGGACAAGGGACATGAGACAACAACGCGGCCATGGTACCTAACGCCTGCCGTCGAGTGACTGTGCTTGGGTCGAAGTTGAGAGAGTGTGTGTCCGTTGGTAGATGAAATCCGGCACCAGCGCTCCGGTCTGGCACCCATCTCCTCGAGTTATCAATCCAATCAGACCTACGTACCGATTTACCCTCAGGTCTACCTGCAGCTTCGGATCATGACGTAAAGGGGGGAGGAAGAAAAGTGGGCGGTTTTTCAAAGTGGGGTGGTTTCGTGCTCAGGCTGTCTCGAGGGCTCGAAGGTCGAGTCCAGTCTCCTCTTGTCCTCTGACTCTGTTTTTTCCCCGACCAACCATCCTGGTAGGGGGAATCTTCTGTGCGTCGGGCCAATTTCCCGGCCGCGATGTCTCGCATGTCTCGAATGCATCACCAATCCCTCATCTTTCCCAGCAGGCTTCGGAGACTGAACCGGTTTCTCTCTCTCTCTCCCTCTTTCTTTCTTTCTTTTGGCGCGTGCGCTCTCTCACTCTCTCTGCCTTTTCCCCGTTTGTTCTTCTTCTCTATATTCTCCACCCGTTATATGGTTTCTTTCCCTTTCGAGTCGCCAGCCCCGCGGAGGCTGGAACCTTTTCGGCCCATCCCATGCCTCCTATTCTTCCCTTAGTCTCTTTACCCTTCTCCGTCTTTCTACCTCACTCGTGCAGGAAGGATTGGAGGTTAGATGCCGGTGGTAGCAAACCACCTTCCGATAGTCACCGGGCCAGCTGATTGCTTGTTGGCTTTGCTTGAGCGCTTCCACATTTGCAGGTGTAGTGGAAGCAATCCGATAAATCTCCCTTTTTTAATGTTTTCACTCAGTTTGATTCAGTAACTGCTGTACAATTGCGGCAGGCTCTTTTCCTTGAATTGGGAGTCTGGATGGGTTCAGTTGATTCGCTTCCAAGAGCCTGATTGGGAGATTGGGAGAAGGGGGGTGGTGTGGGACTATGAAGATGCTGGCTATAAGATTAATATGACTTTTGCTTCGTCTCCCCTTTCCCCTACCTTCCCCCGGTGATTTATTTGGCAAGAAAGTCGGTCATTCATCGTCATCTTCATTCATCGAGCGAGTACCCAGTGGGGTACGTAGTCTAGGAAAGATCCCAACTCCCGATACGTAACCCCCGCGCACTTCACCGCCTCAGGCTGCCTTCGCGCCGGTCTCTTCAAAGTGAACTCTGCTTTCTCTCCTTCCATTTCATAGTTTCCTTTCCTCCTCCTCCCCCTCCTCCTCCTCCTCTTCTTCTTCATTCTCAATCTCTCTCCTACTGTTTCTCAGTGAATTCGATTAGATCGTTGCTTGCTGTTCATATTTCCTGTTGATTTCACTCTCCCGCCAGCTTTCATGGCCTAATTCGCAACTTTATCGCCGGTCTCCCCCACACCCAACAACACCAACAACCCACCGTTACTACTTTTAGCTTATCTTTTCCCCTCCCAGGGTAACTCGACCCCTCTTCCTCCTACAAACTTAACTCATCGTATTCCCCCCCGTCCTCCTCCCTTCTGCTTTTGCTTCATTTTATATTTATTCCCACACATGGGTGAAAATAGCAGAGCTCATTCCCATCCCCTCCCTCGTTTTTCCACAAAGTAGAAGAAAAACGCATTGAGCGGGCACTAATCCGGGAAATCATTCCAGCATCCCCGTCGTGTCCCCCGTTCTTGTCCGCTTCCGTCATCATGGCCTCCGAACACCGGGCTTCCACCAACTTACCCGATGGCCAGCCCAATCCGGGTCCCATTGGGTCGGGCCTGAGTGTTCTGGGCGAAGACGCTTTCTTACAAGCATCCAACGCCACACCAGACCTGGCGGTTGAATCGAAACAGCCCGTCGTCTCCGATGGTCCTTCTTACTTCTCCGACGTCGCGACCAACTCACCGGCCGCCACTTCGTCCGTTGTTTCCCCTTCCACGCCTGCTCTGGCGGCTAGAGAAGCAAAATCAGGACGTGAATTACTGCGTCGGTTAAGTCTAGTTGGCACGCCCACGTTGTCAGACATGGATCCCTGTGAGCAGTACCCGGGCTTGCACCTCACCGGTCGGATTATTAGTGCTGCCTTCTGTGTTCCGTACAAACTCTACATGCGATCCGGTTCAGACTGGGTATGTCAGCCCTCCAACCTTCACTCGCTGTCTCCTTTGGGTGGTCGTTATCTCTACAATCGGAAACTCGGCTGACTTGGCTTCAGGAATTGAAACCGCGCCCCGGAACATCTGCCCTGTTTGACTCTCTGGCCTATCTCGGCTCCCAGGACTCGAAATGGTCTCACACCCTTGTTGGCTGGACTGGTGAGGTAGAACCAGCCCAAGAGACGGCGGTACCTCTGCAGCAGATCCCCATCAACACCAGTGCCAAATTCCCTACGATCGTGAACGGGTCCACCATACCTTTGAACAAAGCAGCAGCTCCAGTGCCCGTCGATGCTAACCAACGGCCGCCAAGTCACCCTCTCCTGGAAGGGCTCCGGGTAGGGCAAGCCGATCGAGATCAACTCGATAGGCAAATGAGCTCCACGCGCTATGGGAAAATCGCCCCTGTGTGGCTGTCGGCTGAGTCGGATGTCCCCGAAGAACCCATCCTCTTGGAGGATCAAGGACGGTGGAGACGTTATGCCGAAAGGGAATTATACCCCCTACTTCATTACAAGCAGCATGGCCCTACGGATGGAAGATCAGAGCGCACGTGGTGGGCCGACTATGTCCGTATGAACCGGCTTTTTGCGGATCGTATCGTGAAGGAATACAAGGAGGGTGACATTGTCTGGATCCATGACTACCATCTTTTCCTTTTGCCGAGCATGTTACGTCAACGCATCCCTAATGTCTACATTGGATTCTTCTTACACGCACCATTCCCTAGCAGCGAATTCATGCGCTGTCTCGCCAAGAGGAAGGAGGTGCTCACTGGAGTCCTCGGTGCGAATATGATCGGTTTCCAGACCTTCTCCTATTCCCGTCATTTTTCGTCTTGCTGTACCCGCGTCTTGGGATTCGACTCTAATTCAGCTGGAGTCGACGCGTACGGCGCCCATGTGGCGGTTGACGTGTTTCCCATTGGGATTGACACCAGTGCTATTCAACGAGCAGCCTTTGAATCCACCGAGATAGAGCAAGCCGTGTCGGGAATTCGCAAGCTGTACGCCGGCAAAAAAATCATTGTTGGTCGCGATCGATTGGACAGTGTCCGAGGTGTAGCACAGAAGCTGCAATCCTTCGAAGTCTTCCTCGAAAAGTACCCGGAATGGCGTGATAAGGTGGTTCTGATCCAGGTGACCAGCCCCACTAGCGTCGACGAGCAGAAGGAAGAAAACAAGATTGCTAGCCAGATCTCGAATCTAGTCTCTACAATCAATGGGCGCTTCGGATCTCTAAGCTTTTCACCCGTCAAATATTATCCGCAGTACCTTTCCCCGCACGAGTATTTTGCATTGCTGCGGGTGGCTGACGTGGGCCTGATCACGACGGTTCGGGATGGGATGAATACGACCAGTCTGGAATATATCATCTGCCAGCAGAACAACAATGGCCCTTTGATACTCTCTGAGTTCTCGGGTACTGCGGGAACACTCTCCAATGCAATTCATATTAACCCATGGGATACGGTGGGAGTCGCGGGCGCAATCAATAAAGCTCTCTGCATGTCCCCTGAGGAGAAGGCGGTGCAACAGCAGAAACTATACAAGCATGTCACTGCCAACACTGTCTCGGCCTGGTCTAAGCAGTTCCTCACCCGTCTGCTCACGAATCTATCTTCCTTTGATCAGTCCGTGGCAACGCCAGCTCTCGATAGAGTCAAGCTATTGAAGCAGTATCGCAGAGCTCGTAAGAGGTTGTTCATGTTCGATTATGATGGGACCCTTACTCCAATTGTGAAGGACCCGCAAGCAGCTATTCCATCTGATCGCGTTCTCCGCACTCTCAAGACTCTCGCTGCGGACCCACGGAATGCAGTATGGATCATCAGTGGCCGTGATCAGGCTTTCTTGGATGAGTGGATGGGCCATATTCCTGAATTGGGCTTGAGTGCCGAGCATGGTTGTTTTATTAGGAAGCCTCATTCCGACGACTGGGAAAATCTGGCCGAGCGAAGCAACATGGGTTGGCAGAAGGAGGTCTTGGAAACATTCCAGCACTTTACTGAACGAACTCAAGGCTCCTTCATAGAGAGAAAGCGGGTCGCTCTCACGTGGCACTACCGGCGCGCCGATCCTGAATATGGTGCATTCCAAGCTCGCGAGTGCCGAAAGGCGCTTGAAGATACCGTAGCCAAGCGGTGGGAAGTGGAAGTAATGTCAGGCAAGGCCAACTTGGAGGTCCGGCCGACTTTTGTGAACAAGGGCTTTATTGCCGCCCGCTTGGTCAATGAGTACGGAAATGAGCCTGGAGATGCACCCGAGTTTATCTTCTGCTCAGGAGACGATTTCACAGATGAAGGTATGTCCCCAGCCCCCTGGCGCCATTATTTCTCAGCAAATACTCGGATGCTGACTGCACTCTTCGTTCCCAGACATGTTTCGTGCTCTGCAGGGATTCGACTTGCCACAAGATCACGTTTACTCGGTCACTGTTGGGGCAAGCTCAAAGCAAACAGCCGCCAGCTGGCATCTTCTCGAACCGGCGGATGTGATTGAAACGATCTCGATGTTAAACAATAGCTCTTGCTCTCAAGAGTACTAAATCACTCCACGCGCCTTTTACGACCGGGATGCAGCTCCTTTTTTTTCTCTCTCTTTTTTTCTTTTCCGTTTCATCTAGACTTTAGCTTCGCTTTCATGCTTATATAACTCCATGTTTCTCCTCCCGGGGCGTCGATGCGGGGCAGCGATGGTGATTGATTTGTTAGAGCTCAAGGCGATTGGGAAGAGGGCGCTCGTCGGCCATGGAGAGGGGCTTTCTTGAGTTCTTTTTTTGCGGCAGCTCTGGACCGAGGGCCCGTTCTCTTTCCGCTTTCGAATCTAATAGTCGTTGATACTTATTCCCTCTTGAACTGGTTTATAGATGGCCGAAGCGAAGATGACGCGCTGCCCCTTCATAAAACCCTTCTTATGTTGTCGTTGTCGTTCGTCGTTGTCTAAGAGTATCGTGCGCTCCGAAGAATATAGAGAGAACACAAAAATGCCGTTTTAAAACCCGCGACTCGTCGACGCTGCATAGCCGAGGAATCATATTGTTGTCTTGGCCCGATTCGGTCTTCTGTGCGAACAAGACCCGGCAGGGAAAGACGCCCTCCGACTGTTCTCCATAATCCGGGGATCTCGGCCTATACTCCGTCCGCACTGAACTGACTGGAGGTTTACCGGTCTACCCCTCCTACGGGTAACTTATGTCTCTTAGTTCTGTCCGCATCCCTCTTATGATGTTTCTGCCCCTCACGGACGTGGTGTCGTGTGCTTCGCCAGCCTTCTAGGAGGTTCGATACAGATTGTGGACCTGAATCATACATATTACTGATTTAGAACATCCCCACGGTAACTTATAGAACAGCTATGAAGACCACGTCGCAACTACCGTGCAGCGTCGATCCAATCAGTCCAGCGCATGGAGCCGGCAAGGGGATCCCCCCAGGGGCGAGCTCTAATGCTCCTCAATCTCCCAATCAATCTGTTCTCTATAGAGATAGAGATCATGTGGGAGATGAGGAAAATGCTATCGACACTCCACGGCCGAAGGAGCTGTCCAAGACCTCAACAAACGTGAGCAATCTCGAGGCTTTGACTACTCGAGGTTTGACACTCATTCGGACGAGGGAATCAGGAAAGGACTTGGGCCCCCCTCCGGACGGCGGCTTCGGCGCATGGTTCCAAGTGGCCCTTGCCCATTTTGTTATCTTCAATACCTGGGGCTATATCAACAGCTTCGGCGTCTTTCAAGACTACTATACCCAGACCCTGAAGCGGCCGCCCTCTGATATATCCTGGGTTGGCAGTATTCAGATCTTTCTACTGTTCTTCATAGGGACTTTCTCGGGACGTGCCACCGACGCCGGATACTTCAAAGTCATCCTGATTCTCGGGGCCATACTCGAGCTATTTTGCATCTTCATGACTTCCCTGTGCACTCAGTACTGGCAACTGTTTCTGGCACAGGGGATCGGCCAAGGGATTGGCTGCGGGCTCATGTTTTGCCCGACTATTGCTTTGATTCCGACGTACTTTACCCAGAAACGAGCCATCGCGATTGGCATTACAGCCTCGGGATCGGCCACAGGAGGGCTGGTCTTTCCGGCAGTAGTCATGCGGCTTCTACCCCAAATTGGGTACGGATGGACGGTACGAACGTTGGGCTTCATTTCGCTAGCCACGTTGACACCTTGCTTGATCTTTCTTCAGCAAAGGCTGCCGCCCCGTCGTAGTGGACCACTGATCGAATTGAAAGCCTTCCGGGAGACTTCCTATGCGCTTTTTGCGCTGGGAATGTTCCTGAACTTTTGGGGTCTCTACGTGGGATTCTTCTATATCAGCAGCTTTGCGCAAGACATCGTCGGCGTCTCGGAGTCTACCTCGATTGATGTGCTCCTGGTGATGAACGGGGTGGGCCTGGTGGGTCGCTTGATCCCCAACCTACTGGCGGACTGGTACACAGGTCCGTTGAATATGCTCATCCCCTTCAGCCTGATAACTGGGGTCGTGGCCTATTGCTGGGCGGTGGTAGGGAGCTATAGAGGTCTGTACGCTTTCAGTGCCTTCTATGGGCTTGCAGCGGCCGGCATTCAATCCTTGTTCCCCGCCACATTAAGTACATTGACGACCGACTTGAAGAAGACAGGGGTTCGCATGGGGATGGTATTGAGTGTGGTGGCAGTGGCCGCCCTCATTGGCACGCCTATCGCAGGAGCTCTGGTAGATCGGGACGGCGGACAATATCTATACGCACAGATGTTCATGGGAAGTGCCATCCTGGCGGGCACATTGACTTTGATTGCAGCGCGCACAAGCAAATTAGGTCTGTCCTGGCAACGCGCTTGAAAATGATTCATGATATCAGAACGGGAGGCAGGAGGGAGAAGGAAAATAAACCGAGAAGAACAATCAATCATCAATATGGGCTGGATGAGCCTCAACATAGTTAACTAACCAGTTAAGTTAGCTACCAAATACCACGATGATTACAATGTGTGAAGAGGTTTTTTGGAGAGGAGGGGGTGGAAACAGTGTTCCATACAAAAGTAAACACTGGACTCGTCTATAATGTAAGCATATTATACACAGGTAGTACATGATACGAAAATATATAGGTAGAGTGCTCGTTGGAGTACCAGTAGTTAACTTGGATAGAACATGAGACATTAACGTTATATATAACTACGCAGTGTCGAGTATCTGATGATACAGTATAGTACAATACAGTACATACTGTATTCGGAGCCTAAAGCAAAAATTCAAGTCCACCGATCTCTCTCCCCCTCCCCCGCCTTCTCTTCCAGGAGAGCTACAGAGCGTGACTGGCTGACTGCTCTTCTCCAACTTCACTTCATATCTCCCTCCCTCCCTCGCCAACCCCTTCATTAACACGCACACACACAATCTCTCTCTCTCTCTCTCTCCTCTCCCCTTCCTCCACTACGGCGCAAAGCACAACATTTCCCTCCTTTATTCCTCACCCACCATGGCACCCCGCGGTCGCGGAAAGTTTTCCAAACCTTCGCGAGGAGGTACGTGCAAAAGCCGAACACCAAATTCTGAGAGTGAATGAAGCGGACTTCCCCTCATCAGGATCACACCACAAGAGAAGGATACTGGCCGCGACTGACCCGGTGCAATTTTCCTGCGCACAAATCGAACAGGTGGAAAACATTTCAGTCGTGATGTTCAGCCCATTGACAAAGATGGAAACCCCGTTGGCCTTTGGAGGGTTCGTATGCCTTTGCTCTTTTTTCCTGGACACTCCTTGTCTACCTGGGCTCACTGCACTCCTGAATGTTCTATTCAAGACCCCCTCCCATTGTAAACTACCCTTCAAATCCCAGCCCCACTAATTCCGAGACCACATCGCAGGATCCCGAGGAGAACAATCTCTCCTCTTCCGAGGAGGAGGAATCTTCTGAATCAGGCTCCGAAGAGTCCTCCGACAATGATGACAACGAACCTTCCCACAGCGCCCGACCCGGTCCGTCTTCCATACCCGTTGCGAGCAGCAGTGGTACCACCGAAATGACCCGTGAGGAGCGGCGTGCGGCTGCCAAAGCGAAAAAGCAGGCTGCCCAGGCTCGCCGGATGCACACTGCCGCTCAACCGGGTGACCTACCCCCTTCGAACTCGGACGGATCAGGCAACGACACCGACGACGATGACGACGATCTACCAGCCAATCCTAACCACACGGCCAAATCGCGCTCCCAGCTCAGCGACAACCAGGAAGACGCGCAAAAGCCGAAAGGCGATCTATCACAGTTGTCGCGGCGGGAGCGTGAGGCGATTGAGGCTCATCAGGCGCGACAACGCTACTTGAAGCTTCATGCTGAGGGTAAGACAGAGGAGGCTCGCTCCGACTTGGCTCGTTTGGCGATCGTTCGCGAACAGCGTGAGGCTGATCGCCTGCGCAAGGAAGCTGAGAAGGAAGAGAAAGTCGAGCTTGCGAAGCAGCGCGCCGCCGAACGAGATGCCAAGCTGCAGGCTGCCAAGGGTGGGAAGAAAAAAGGTGTGTCAAAGAGAAAGTAATCGCCACGCGATAGACATCTCCAATTTGGCTTTAGTTCCTGCTGCCGCTGGTGCACGTTATATACTTTGATTCTGTACAGATTTTGGAATCATGATTGGCCTTACTTTCCCTTCTAGTCTTCTCTATCAAGTCCTTGGCAGAAATACAGAGCCACACACATGGCATGAGATCATGCGTTATATCTATCCAGAAGATATGCTGTACAGCACGAAAGTACTTCTGTTTCAACTAACAGGTGGAACAGATTTTCACATCCATTAACAGTAGGTTGTCAGATAAAATACCCTGCAAATCCTTCAACCTGGAATCTGGGACCTCCTATATGAAACGAGAAGGCGGAAGATAATATCATAAATCAGTGGACCATGACTGACCGAGTGATTGCAGCACCAAGACAAGATGACATATACGCCGGCGCTGAGATAAAAAAATTTAAGACTTACATACATTGCAGCTATAGTGGCGAAGAGGAGATGCTCTTGAGGGGGAGCAGCTCGAGCACCAGCTCGAGCACAGGGCAGTGCTTATGCGCCCCAGACCAAGACCTCCAGGATCTGGCCTTGCATGACCAGGCTCCATCCGGCGACTAGGCTGACAAGCCACAATATCGCGAATGCTAGGATAGGGAGCAGGAGTAGCTCGGTGTTGTGCAAGAAGGGAAGGGCATTGTATCCCAAGAATGTAATATAGGTGTAATATGTCAGTGCAGACAGGTAGAGCGTGTTGCCGAGGAAAGTAGCCAGGAAATTGCTTGGACTGCGGGTGAGCAGTGGCAGAAGAAGAAACTGCACAACATAAAGATGCAGATAAAGGGGAAAGTATGCCCGAATTGATACCTGAGATTTGCGAGATTTAGTTTCCCTGCTCAAAATCCTGGGCCATAAGACAGGCTGATGTGACTTACATCAAAGCAGTACCCAAACTCCAGCTGGTCCTTTTCACCAGGCTGCGTGAACAAGCCCTGCGCCGCGCCACGCCGCCGACCACGACTACCTCGAAATCCAGTGAGGGAGGCTGCGGCGCCATCAGGGCGGAATAGGCGGGGAATCATGAGATATCCTAACGTCGAGACCAGAAGTGAGGACCCGATGAAATGAACGAAGATTAAAATCAGAGACAGCCGAACGATGGACACAAACGACGGCGCATAGGCGAGGCCCCACGCGAGGGCTGTGAGAAGAAGGAAGAAGGAGAGCAGGTAGGTGAAAGATGGATCCGGGCGATGCCAGGTATTCTTCGTTTCTGGAAATCGGTCAGTTCCTCACCACGGCAACCTGGTCAGACATGCAGAATACGTATATTCCAGACAACCTACGTTTCTTTGAGCCAGACAGGGAGTCAGTAGACAATCAAAATTTTCTGTGGTCTGGGAACAGGTATAACGTACATGGTAGTATATTGACTTGAAGACTTTCTTGGGCGCAATTAACAGAGAGGTCATCTCCCAGATTGCCATCTCGAAATCCATCTGCGGGAACTTGAATAGCCTAACCCACAAGGAAGAAGGGAGGGGTATGATCAGCTATAGGCCGAGGATGTTGATAAAGATCGTCCTGGAGGCTCCATGCCGGGCTGCACGCCGCGTACCGAAGGCTTCCAGTCCGAGTTGAAACGCCTACCTTTTAAAGAAGCGCGGCATCCGTATACTGGATCTACGGCTGGCAGGCGTAGTACCGCCGAAATTCAATGGACTGGCATGTTGGCGGGGAACAGATATGTGAGGGTTCATCTTTCAGAAAGTGGGTGAAGGAAGAAAGAAGAAGAGATGATGGAGGGGGTCCCAAGTCGCGGGACAACACCAGGTAAGAGGAATGAGACTCATGCAAATTGAACGTGTGACCCGCTCCAGAGGAAAGGCTAATTAAGCCACAACAAGTTTTGAGCTGACACTGGTGAAGAAGGAGGAGGAGGATAAGTGTGAAGAAGGGGAGGAGGAGGAGGAGGAGGAGGAGGAGGAGAGAAGCAGATGATGGAGTTCCTTCGACAATGGGAAACAACGCATGGATGTTATGTCATCATCTGGGGTCTTCTTGCCGCGGAGGAATTTGTGAGGAATTTGGAGCCCGTTACAAATTATTGTATATGCACTTACCAATCATACTTACTGAACTCAGCATTATACTACTAGAGTACGATATACAGACTCCCTGTTTGAGTTACAATGGATAACTTACACTAGGTCCTCTATAGACTGTGTCTATATACAGATCACCAGCCACTTCTGCCACGTGGGATTGGATCTGCTTACAATGCTTGAAGGGATGTACGATACAGTACAGTACAGTACAGTACAGTACATACTATGGACGTTTATGTTGATTACCACAGACTGCGTGGCTCCTGAAACCGACGTTGACAGATCTGGTTAGGGAATCGACTGATCTTGGAAGAGCATTTGGCATTTGACCAGTCTCCCAGACTGGTGGTGATACCTCATTACTCCCGAAGTAGGTGAGGCGTATCACCTTTCCTGGTGCTTTAAAAAGTTAAAAAAGACCCAAGTTAATACGGTGGGTGTACGGAATAACCACAACTATAACAGTACTCGAATCGGTGGCTGCAGGCGTCGATAAAGTGATAACTAAAGTGATAAGGTGATAAAGTGACAAAGTGGCCCCCTGAACTGCTAGAGGAGGGTCTTGCGATCCGACACTAGCAGCAAATTATTACATTATTCTGGTTAGGTTAAGTTATTTGTTACTCGATCATGAGGTACGGAGTGTGTTTGTTCTTTCATTTGTTTCTTCCTCTTCCTTTTTTCTCTCTCCCTCCATACTGCCCTGCAGGGTCCCTGAGTCGACCACAATTTCCGGTGTTTGATCAAGACGCTTGCGCATGCATCAACTAACTAACATGCATTCGATGTGAGTAGCTTACGGAGTACTGTTACCTTCCTTCCAATCTTCCAAATTTCCAAATTTCCAATTTATCCTTGCTCCTCTTCCATCCATCCATCCAGCGTTCGCGATCCTCGTGGCCAGTTCACTCTCTCCACCCCCACACCCACTCTCACTTCAAGAAGGTTTCCGGCGCCCGTCCGTCTCCAAGCTTGAGTTATTGTTTGACTTTCCATATTCCTTGGGTCGTCTTGATCGCGGTCTCCGTTTCCTCCGACCTATTGCTTGTCATACACTTCCCACTCTCTTTTCCCAGATTCATGAAATTCCCTTTCCCTTCACCCGTCTCTCCGACTCCACGTCGATCAATCTCTCATTCTTTCACCTTGACAGATGACTGAAGGAACATAGAAGGATCGATATAGCTCGCTTTTAATCATCACACACTCCAATTGCAGCACTCGGCCCCTCCTCCCTCCCCTTACACCACCAATTCACTCCTCTTTCTACCTCTCACGCGATGTTCAGCTGGTGGTAAATTTGACCTACACTGTGCTTCGATGACAGCGACGGCCATTGCTATGCCGCTTATCTAATGTCCGCGAATTGGCTCCCGGCACATTCTTGAAATCAGGAGAAGGGCCAGTCAGGGCTTCGGAGCTCCTCAAGGCGAACGGTGACGCTCAGTAATCCACCGACCAATTGCTCCAGAACGGACGCTCTGTCTCGCTTCCACGACTGGGCACAGGCCCTACTCTTTTTGTTCTCGTGTCTTCTGTTTTCCCTTCCACTTTACGTTCTTTCTAGGCCCCGTCGCTCGCTTCGCATTAATGCCACGAACCCCGGCCATTCGCAGAAGTCCTCTCCGATGAACAGAACCTCTCGTTTCGATAATCGCACAATGCCTCCGCAGCACGCAAGCAGTTCACCCCCTCAAACCCCTCCGTTCGAACCAAGCGATCGCATAGCCGCGAGAAGGGGAATCCACCCACGACCGTCCGTACGGGAGACCTTTCTGGACGACTTCAATCCAGCTGATAATGCCAACGACAGCAATGAATCGGGCGACGAGCGCGACCCACATGACTTGTCGCTATCGCCGAAACATGCAGCCCGCACCTCAATTGTGGATAACATGCTCTTGTCGTTGGATCAGTTTGCTTCGGGCTCTCTGCTGGATGATTATCGCTTATTCAATTCGGTGTTTGAGACCGACTTGTGCGGCAACGGTTCGCCAGAGTCGATCGCGCAACGCCGCTATCGAGGCCACACTTTCTCTTCCTCCGTGTCCTCGGAGGTAGAATGCACGTACGATGAGAGCACTGGCCGTTATGCAACACAACCGGCGAGAAGCCGTCGAAGCAACAGCAGCTCGAACTATCATGCCAGCCTACGAAGATACGGCAGCACTCGCAGTCGCGAAGGAACCGGCTCCCGTGGTCAGCTGTACGATTATAGGACCAATTCGAACATTGCGTCCCCAGCGAATGTCCGGGCGTCTCGGAATGGAAATCGAGGCAGTTCCTCGCCCCCAACGGATCTTACTTCAATGCAAATGGGACGACTGGACGCGGCCGGCGAGAGGCGCTCTGCGAGCTTAGACTTCGGCACAAGACAGCCATTCATCTCCTTTCCGGATCTTGTCTTTGACTTGGACCCCTCGTCGTATGGAGGGCTTGATGCAGCGCCGACTCCAAGCGTCCCTGGTGGACCAAGTAAATTCCACTCGTCTCCGCAGGCTGAATATGCAGGCACCTCTAACCCCCAGCAGTCAAGGACGACACCCGGGGCATCGCGCCGGAACAGCGTCAAATCGCCGCGGTCGAACAACAGTCGAAAGGCTCGACCGGAAAATCTGGGCACGGCGACGATCCGGAGTCATCATTCAGATCTGGCCAAACTCGGGGAGAGCGGACTTGAACCTCCGCCGACGATCCCTGCATCGCTCGACCCGCCCGCGCCGAGCCCAACCATTTCCTTCAACAAGCCGATCTTCCCCGCGCCACCCGACCCCGCTCCAGCAGCCAAGGAACGGCCAGGGTTCTTCCGGCGTGTGTTTGGCTCCTCAAAGGTGTCGACCGCCATTTCAAGCGAGTACCACCCTTCCGACCACGTCTTCGCCCAAGAAAACGACCACAAGGATCCCAGCGGATTTGGGCCGAACGCCAAGAGTTGGAGACAGCCACTGAAGAATAGTGCAGCAGGAATCAACCCGCACCGTGAAGGAGGAACGCACCAGGTGGTGACCAAGAAGTCTTCCTTCTTCCGTCGGCGCAAGAAGTCTGTTGCTGAAAGTGCTCCTCCCCCCATTTTCTTTCCCCCGGAGCTCAGCGGCCATCTCCGCGTACTGGAACCGGCCAAACCGGAGGCTATCTCGGTTAGCAGTATAGGGAGAGGGATGAACCCTTCTTCCACTGCAGACCCCGGCAGTAGACCCTTGGACCGGCGCCCAGCCGCGGAGGTCCAAAACCTGGGAGGTTCGCCGACGCAAAATCAGAGAGGGAGTTTAGTCACAGCAACCCAGAGTCCTTCAAAGGCCAAATACAGCCTTTACCCGACGGTTCCACCGAGCAGCGCTCCGGAGGCATCATCACTCGGCCTCACCAGCAGTGGAGATGAGGCGTCGACCATCGTCAGGTCGGGTGGCTTGGATCCGAGTCACCCTGCCGATCAGCAGCAAGAACCGGAGCACCCATGGCGTGGAAAGGGAGTGGACTCGAACAGTAACGATGTAGATAACGGTTCTGGTGCTAGTACTCTTCAAACAAAGCTGAGACCTGAGGAGTTACCCGGCTCCTCGCTTTCGCCTGTGGTTGAAAGCTTCTCTCAGACAGGTGCCGTCCCTGAAGAGAACCTTGATAATATCGCTCTCCAGAACCCACCGAAGTTGAAAGAAGCCCACGAATCCTTCCCTTCAGATGTGTGCAGGGATAATGAAATGGGGAGGAATACGTCTGCCGCTGCGGCTGGCTTGAATGACTCCCCACGGGTTTCGACATCGGAAGTGTCGAACTACTATACGGCTTCAGAAGCTCCCACCGCATTGTCGATTGAGCCAAAACGCATAGATCCCCTCAGAGAGGAGTCTCATATTTCAGATGGTCCCGTTGGTGACGAACCAACAGATTCCGACCGGGAGCAAGCGAGGATGTTGTTCGAAGGTCAGGAGCAAGTGGTCGGGAACGAGCCTGCCGCCGCCTGGCTTGGGGATCCCGACCGTGCTTCGATACGCAACGCATACATGGAACTTTTCGACTGGTCCAACCTCAACATCCTGGCAGCCCTGCGAAGTCTTTGTACTCGGCTGGTGTTGAAGGGTGAGACTCAGCAAGTGGATAGAGTCTTGGATGCTTTTTCCACAAGGTGGTGTGCGTGTAACCCGCGCCATAGCTTCAAAGCTGCAGGTAGGTTCAGCCCCATTCCGCAATTGAGCGCCATGGTTGGACTAATGGTATCGCTCTAGATGTTGTGCACACAATTTGTTACTCTCTCCTCCTGTTGAACACTGACCTACATCTTGCCGACATCGAGCAGAAGATGACCAAGACTCAATTTGTTCGGAATACGATGCCCACGATCCATCGCGTGGCTGCCGAAGCCGCCCCTGACGAAAGTCTCAATGGTAAATCGAGAGTCTCGACACAAGATCCGATGTCACCCACCGACGATCATGACCGGCGTTTTGTGAGCATGGATAGGCCGCTGAACCAACCGGCAAAACTAGTAAACCGATTGTCTCGGACTGATCTATCTGCGAAGATTCCAACTGATCCTGATAACGAGACTGGCCCGCTTGTCAACACGCCTTTCATTGGGTCGATGAGGGTATGGGAACAACAGGTCGAGGCTGTTCTCCGGGACTTTTATTCCTCGATCCAGAAACAGAGGCTTCCTCTTCACGGCGCGTCAACAGAGAAAGAAGGGCCGCGGTCTTCAGCCAACAACTTGCTTGGCCCTTATACTAGTGGGCTCCGCCGAAGTCCCAGCACTGTGAGCAGAAGTGGCTCTGACATCTATCCTCGTGGCCGCTCTGCAGATTCCCGCTATGGGACTGCGCGGTGGTCATCAAAACCTCGTTCGCGAGCGAGGCTATATCCTCCGTCTACCATGGGATCTAGTAGGAC